AGTCACAGAACAGGGTTAACTGTGCAGCTTCTTGCTACATTTATTTTCTCAAGGAAGAAATAAAATTTTTAAATGTTAAGTAATACTTTGCAACACTCTGGTTTGAACTGGTTTTTGAATGCTGACAACACAAGGAGAACCTCCTCTGTCTTTTACCCCTTGAAGATTTATGATGTGCAAGTCTAAAAGATCAACAATTACAGAACCCAACTTCAAACAACACCAGGCAGAAATACAGCTGTTCGCAGCTTCTCTTTCTGTCTAAAAAAATTAAACCATTATGAGATAATAGATTCCTTATGTGCTCTTCACACTCATGACTGGACCTTCTTTTGCTTGGAGAATGTCACAAAGTAGTAGTCTGAGGAGAGAAAAGGGACTATCTACTCTGGCCTTCCAAAACTAAATAGTTGGCAGCACTTCAGCTTAGGAAAAGATGGGGAAAAAGAGAGTGGAGGGTTGTTTTGAAAGTCAGGAAAATCACCAGTGTTCTGAAAAAGCATACTAAAGGAAGTCTTAATTTTCATAACAGGACAGATTGAAAGCACTCAACAGTAGATCAGCTAAAAGTAAATGGAGTAAGTCTTTAAAATGTGCAAAACTGTGGCATTCACTACCAGATAGATTAAATTACTTCATCAGAGCTGAGATGTACTATGAAAAACATGTGGTTAATTAGTAATTCTAAAACATCGTGGTACAAAAGGTCTCTGGTTCAGGAAGTTTGTGTACTACTGATAACTAGATTAGATGACTGCTAGTAATTGGAGTTATTTGTCCACTGTGTTTTGTATGTCTTTTTGCTGAACATCTGATAATGAAGAAAAATACCAAATTAGATAGAATCCTAATGTTTTCAGTAGGTACAGATTATAGTTGATTTAAAGGAGTTTTTCTGAGCAGCCTGTGGAATGCTCTCTTGATTAGTTCGCAGTTCTGCTTATGAACAATGTAAAACATTTTGAGAATCTTTTTGTTGAAATGTAGATTCCAAATGTCACAATATTGCCTGTACTATCTTCTCTCAATTTACATAATATTCCAGCAGTCACATTCCGTTTTATATTTGGCATTTTGCATGGATGGTGGATTGGTATGCAGAAAATGAGGAAGTTAATAATTCATCTTATATTATGACTCCACAAATGTTAGACATAGGGAGGTGTTTGGTATAAGACATCAGGATATAACAAGTATAACTGTTGTATTTATCAGATTGGGTTTGCAGAAGAGCTTTTGGGGCTCATTTGAGTTTATTATTTTCAAGCAATTTGCTGACTTTGAAACTTCATGTAATGTGAGGTCATGATGGGTAAACAGCCAGTATCTTGGGGAAGGCAGGAAAGAAAAAGGTCTCAAGGTATGTCAAGCAAGACATTGATGTCAGACCATTTAAATCTGCTGGACTTTTTAAAAGGCTAGGCTCACATTAACTGAGTGTGAAAATAGAGGTAGTTCAAAGAAAAGAGAGGGGAAATACTTTTGAATGAAGATATGGGGAAAATTGTTTTATTTCTAGTTTATTAAAAATATGGGATTGTACTTATGATTTGCATCTCAAAATGAAATTACAGGGTTTTTTGGGTTTTTTTTCCCCAGTTGAAGTAGAAAAAAAGATTGCCCTGGAGGATAAATTACAATAATCTGGTAACTGGTTCTGTAGAAAATCCTGTGAGCTGCAGTTATGCCAAGACCTTACAGTGAACTCTAATATGTCAGGCTTTATTCTAAGAAATTAAAAATTTCACAAGTCTTAGCATTACTAATGAACATTATATGTTCCCCAGCTTCAGTTTCTTTAACATTCTGAGCTGAAATCAAGGTCCTTTAAGCTGCTATCTCTATACAGCTTGTGATTTGTCTTCTGAACTCAAGAGCCTCTTGAACTCTATCTGGCCTTGGCTGATTCTGTGATTGAACTTTGCTTTGAGCAAAAGTGTTTCTTTCCTCCTTCACTTCTGATCTTTGTTATTTTGAAAGTCTGGATGTATATGTACCCTGTTTAAGTTCATTTGTTTAGGTTTTTTAAGTCCAGCAGCTTGAAAATAACAACAGGTGAACAAGATAAGCTTCTTTTGTCTTTCTGAATCCCATTTTGTGTTTGTGTTGACCTTGAATAACTATATTAATTGTAGTGGGGATTTTTCTTCACTGATAGCAGCAATATAATTCTGGCCCAACTACCACCTCTTTTAGAAGAGGAGCACAAAGCTATAAAAAAATGCAGGTTGTGTTTCCCGTTGTGGTTTGGCTGAGTCTGAAATGACCCTGGCTTTTGTTTGGAATTTATTTTCTAGCTTTAGTTTTTATTTTTTTTGTTGATTGTTTATTTTAGGCTTTTAAAAATTCCTCTTTGGCTAGGCTCCTTCAGCATATTCAGGGACCATTATTTAGCAGTTATTTAAATCTGGCATTGGTGCTGGGCTGGCAGTCAGTCAGGCTTCAACCCTCCCCCCAGGCTAAGTGCCCTGATCTCTCTTAGTCATCTTTATTTTGATGTGCTGGAAAAGCATCTTGCTTTTGGTTTTTTACAAGCTATTGTTTCTTGCTTTGGCTTGCCACCTTATGGTTATGTTTTAGCTTGTCCATCTTCTCTGTTTCCCTTGAGAGAATGCTTGAGTTTCTTCTGTTTCTTTAAAGTCTTTTTTTAATTGCCAGCTTTAATCATTTTCAATGACATTAATTTTTTTTTTGTCCTTTCAGAATTTAAGTGTCTTACCATTTCTCCTAATTCCCTAATATGTCTAACAGAGGAACACTTTACTCTTTCAGTTTCCTAACTTATTTTTAACATGTTTCCCCTTTTGCATGTAGTTCCCCTGTGCTTCAGCTGATTGCTTGTAAGTTCCTGTATTTCTGTTACATGCTCTACCTAGCATGGCCTGGAGAATAGATGAATTTTGGTGTAATGTGCTTGACTGGGCTAGATCTTCTGTTTCATTCTTTTATGGAGCTGCTCTGGGTAGTACTGTCTGCAGCATGTCCTTGCTGGAGACAGTTGACATGGATGTCTGTAGGGATGATTGAGTGCACAGACGGTACAAAAGATGGGAATAGGAAGTAATCTCAACTGGCTGGATAGACTCCGCTTCTTTCATCCACTCCTTTCTCTTCTTTCGAGGAAAATTAATTTTGTATAATACAACACTATATAGAATACTATAAAACAGAAGTCTTGACAAGCTCACAATACCTGAACTTGGATGGATGGTTGAACTTGGAAATGGATTTAAATCTCCACAGCATGGGGGAGTTCTTCATCTGTATTTTACCATAAGTCTGTGGGGTGAGGTGAAGTATCACAAGAATCTTGTCCATTCCATTAAGGTTGTTTACTGATTTACAAATACTGCTGGGACACTTCATAGAAGGAGTGGATTGATGAATCGAGAGCAGATCAGGCAGAGAAAATTTTAGAGGAACTGTATTTAATTGCTTAGATCACCAGTATGAGGCAATCTAATCTTCAACACTCTGCTTGTAAGATGACTTTTCTATGTATCTAAATAATTTGGTTTAGTTGGCTTTGTCCTTTTGTTCCTTTCTCTTTGTTGCTTTTTCTTAGGAACGGGGAAGCTATTCAGCCAGGATCACTACCTTCTAATTCCTTGTTTTGTGCATAAATAGCTTATAAATACTATCTATTTTTTTACTATATTTGGTACTTTGGAGCGTGAATATTTATTAGTGAGGTGTTCTTCTTAAATGTTTTACTTTTGTCAGCCTTAAAGAGAAGAGAAAAGCCCTGATCAGTACCTTTAAGGTTTAGTGCATGCCCTATATATCAGAATTCCTGAAGTTTGATAATTAATCAGTGGACAAAAGAGAACTGGCTTATGTTATTTACCTTGGTATTCAAAGGCCTTGGAATGAGATTCTGAGGAAGAGACCGTTTGACAGAAATTGTTTGCATAAGAGGTAACTGTCATTACAGATCAAACTACTTCTAGTAAAGCATAGAATTGAATGCAGAGTTTTCATCAAAGCCAAAATTAGTGTGGCAGGCTGCAGGGTTTTGCATCAATCTTGCCATTACGGTATATTAACTTCACACATGAAAAAGGTGGTTAGCAGTTAGGTAGACAAACTATAGATGAAAAGAATGAAGATAAGTAAACAAAAAAAATTTCTGTGAATTTCAACAAACTAGAAAATGCTGCATGAAGGAGATAATGCTCCTTACTATGATAAGTAAAATCAAGTATAATAAGAAATGTGGCAGATAAGTAGCTTATATGGAGCTATGTTGGGTTTCTAATTGCATCTTATGTTTGTACACTGAATTCTTAAAGACCACTTTCACACCACACTGTCTTTCTCTCAACTTTGCCACAGCAAATGCAGGACAGCTACAATATCAGGATTTCCATCTATTATCTTTTGGTGCTGCAGTTACTACAGAGCATCAAGTTAGAAGTGAAGCCAAAACCAGTACTGAATTGTTTGGTGTATAAAGGCTTGGGAGTGTCTTTTTTCTACCTTTCTTATGTCATACATTTAAAAATAACTTATTTGCTTAGAGTTTAACTCTACCAGTTTTTATATGCTATGTTCTAGCTGTTCTTTATAGAGAAATGTTGCCTTTTGTATAATACTAATATTAGCTGAAGGTAATAGCTGTTCTGCTCAGGTGACTGCACTAACACATGAATAAATCAATAATAAAAATATTGGTCACAGTATATTGTGTTCTAGATTAAATATTTTGAAACCCTTGTTATTCACTTATATGAAATTGATGTCTATGAAAGTCTATGCACTGCCTAATTTTTGCCTTGTGTTCTTGCATATTTTCATGGACTCAGTCAAAGCAGATGCTGCGCAACACATCAAATACCATATTTCGTACTCTATATGTAAACTTACTTTTATTGGCCCTTCCTTACAGTTTTTCAGAATAGAGAACAAAATTGTTAGAGGATTTCTTGCTGTGAAAAAACTAATTATTCTGCTCAGTTTTCTTAGTGTTTTGTTTATAGTGTTTCTTTGCTTTATTGAAGGGCGTTGGGAGTTCCAGTGACGGACTACACATTTGAAGATTGTCAGCTGGCTTTGGCTGAGGGACAGCTTCGTCTGCCTTCAGATACGTGTCTTTTAGAATTTGCAAAGCTTGTGAGAAGCCTTGGGTGAGCATATACAATATCTATATGTAAGGCGCATCTTTATTATATATCTATAATAAAGATCTATATAAAGATATATCTATATATCTTTATTATTTATCTATAGTTTTCCCATCATGTAACAATATTGCATTTATGAATTTAAATGGAATATTGTTGTCATACAATCAGGGGAATGCAGGTGTAAAATTGAAATAGTACTGTACTTCACTTGCTGCTTGCAAGTGAAGTACAGTACTATTTTAATTTTACACCTGAATCCTAATGAGTAGAGCAGGTTGTAAAATTCTTATTTTCCATCTGACAAGTGAGCAGCGTCTGAAGCATTCATTCCTGAGCTAAAAGACAATTTCTGAAGAGGATCAGGAATACTGTGGGATTCCTAATATTTGATACAGTTGAGAGTCAATTGCCTTTTTCTGTGACATCTGTGAAGGGAAAACAAATGCTGCCAACAGCAATCTTGTGACTGGATTAACCTTGTAATAGTGAGGGATCACCCTTTCCCATGAAGGACAAGGTGGTGATTGATCTTTTGGGCAGGCCACTGCCAGATGGACTTTCCAATGCAGCTGTAGGTCAGGGCGTGCAGTGTAGGTCCTCTCTTCTTTCTTCCCACAGTGCCATTTCCTGCTGGCTTTACCTTTCAAAAAAGCCTCAGCAAACCTGAACAATTTACATAAACCAAATAGTAGAACTTCCTGCTGTTTTCCAGTTTTTCTCCTGCTTCTCCAGTGATTTTATTGGTCAACCATGAACTAAATGTACAGCCTCATCCTATTAACTCTTGATATGCAAACACCCTTTTTCATTTTCTTGTCTCATCACCTGAAAGTACATAGTTTAATGTTTCCATTGTGTATTTTATTTCCTTTCACTAATTTTCCTTCATCTTCAGCTTGTGTACATAAATGAAAATAAAAAAGAAAAAGCTCCATTGGAGAATAAAGAATGTAGGACAGCGCACATCATCAATTCATATGACAAGCATATATTAATCTAGTGTTAGGGCTTCCATCTGAAAAACTTCCATTAGGATAGGAGAGACTTATAAGGGAAAATAAAGATTCTCACTTTGTTTAAAAGGCTCTAAATTTACAGTACTAAGGAAGAAAAACAAGTGAAACAAAACAAATCAACCACCCACGTCTCTTATTATGCAGTTGATAATCCCAGGATTCAGTTTAATCCTCTTGTTAAGTTGTCGGGCTTCTGTCTGCTCTGAAGCTGTTCTTTCAAATTATGCTTTTCTAGGGTTTTGTTCTGGGCTCTGAAACAGTTACATGCATTTGTGAGTGAGATTCACTGCAGTCCAGAAGTTCTCTCTCTGGTATGAGCAATTAATCCTTGGTGAAATATAATCCTCTCTGAATTTGGGCATGTGCCAGTAAGAAGGATATTTTGATGGTATTTTTCTGGCACAATTGGATGAAGATTGTAATACGACTTCATCTCTAATGCATGTTTGATAATAATGTAGTCATTTTGCTGTTTATTCAAAGGTTTTGAGGTCAGGGAGGCATTAAGATCATCCACTAGCATCCCTAAATAACTGGAAGAGAAAATTTTATCCTATGGATTTTTCATCCAGTCTTAATACTTGTTTTTGAGCAATGACATACTTTCAAGGTAACATCCAGATTTAAGATTCCTATAGTAAGGCAAATTCAGAGTTCTTTTTTGTTTAGATTTTTTTTAAATCAACTTACACCTCGGTTTGCTCGGAGTTACTTCTGTGCACATTATGTGCCTACAGGATTCATTATTGTTGTCTGTAAAATGTTCTTAGCCTGTGCTCAGCTGGATGGGATCCAGTCCAGAATGCATGCAGGCACAGCAGTGAGTTCTCATGCTTCATCTAAGGAAGAGCTCAGCCTCTTTTCACAAAGCTGTACAGTTGGCTTGTACCAAACTCTGTGATAAAATGACTGCTTTATCAATTAGATCAATTGATCCTAGACTTATCTTCTCAAATTGTGCATTCATTACTCCTCAAAGAGTCACGTATCTCTTCAGTCTGGTAATTTATGTCTGACCAACAAGCTAATTGCTAAACTATATGCAGTCTATGATATAGCTTTCGTATGTTTTTTTCTCATACATTGTAAATACTTTGCTTCATTTGATGATTTATTCTGTAATTAATTGCCACAGTGTTTAAAGTGAATCTCTGTTTTTACTTCTACTGGATCTATTGCCATGTTCTGGTCATTGAATCTTGTCTGGATTTTATGCCTTACTGAAAACCTCTTTGGATATCTTCTTCAGGAAGCGTTAATACAGTTAATTAAGTCTAGTCTTTGTCTTTTTATGAGATACTTCTTATGAGCTGCTTTAGGGTAGTTGCCTGCTAGGAGATCCTTGTGTTCTGGTTTCAATTTATTTGCTCATATTGTTTCAAGCTTCTGTTTGTTCTCATTCCCAATTATACCTCATCAAGTTGACCATGAGGATCCTTTTAGTCAATGCAGCTGTAAGCTACCAAGAAGATCTGCAAGGACCTCAGGCCTGGTGCCTGTCTATTCTTGCTCAACAGCCTCTACTGTCCACACTACAATACAGTCTTCTGCTCTCAGATTTCTGTCTGAAATCATCCAGACTGTAGGTAGAACTTTGTGTCCCTGGAGTAACAATCCTCACAGCTAACTACCTGTGCTGTGACTTCAGAGTGCTCAGAGGTCATCTGTAACAAGGAAAAAAAACCTCTGGAGGATGTTTACCATCTGCACTTGTGATAAAAGCAATGCTCTCCACAAAGGACGTGATCATGGATCAGACATGATAGCAGATACCAACCATGGTAGCCCCTGATTTTGTGGATCACAGCAGTGTGTGCCAAGAGTATTCAAGAAGGTCAGTTTTGCAGTTTTTCAGTATACTTGCTCTGTGGTGGCGAGAAGTTGCACAGAAGTACATCAGCAGACATAAAACTGAATGTATTGCACTTTTTTGGCTTAGGGCATGTTTCTCTGTGCTTGCAGTTTCCAGTAGCTAGCTACACGATCCAGCTGTTCTTCCAGCTCTCTGAAGGTTTTTGGCAGGTTCCCAGCATGCAAGAAGTAAGCTTATTTTCAAATAGTCAAATATAGCTAAAACTAGCTTACTTGCTAAAAATAGTGATAATTATACTGTAAAATATTCTACCTTCAGGGATCTGGTTTTCCTTGTGAAGTCTTCTGTGAAGAACTTAATGTTCAGAGCTGTTAATCTTGAAAAATGTCCTTTCCATCTTCATGAACTCAGGAATTCTTCTTATTCTCTTTAGTGTGCACTGACCTAAAAAACGGAGCAAAACAACAGCAAATAATTTTATATATCATAAAGCCTAAATCCTGCATGGAAACTATTAAGCCAACAAACATGACTTCATGAGGGAAGACATTGCTATGGGCTTTCTATAATTTATGGCCTCCATTGGGATAAAACTAACAATTGTAAAGGAATTGGGACTTTGAAACTTTTTAACGTTGGTTCAGAACGTATAAAAAGATTTATACTTGGCATCTGAAGACTTCAGTTTAGCAGCTTAGGGTCATCAACATATTAATGACTTCCTGGTTTTGCAGGGCTGGAGGGAAGTGAGCCCACCTTGGATTCTGTCATATTCACGTTGAAGCAGTTTGCCTCACTGATCCACATACTGCTTTTGAGATTGCCTTACACCTCTTTCTATGTTTACAAAACATAAACTACAAGATGCCTTTAAGATTCTTGGTGAGCTCTATTACTTTCCATACAAGATTTTGCCTTCAAGCTGTTCAGGTTAATTACTGGTGAAGAGAAGATTTTGCAAGTCTTGAGTGCTGCTCACCAAATGAGTGCTCACTCAGTTCTAGAAGGTGAATTTTGAGACAATTCATTGCAAACAAAATCTCTCTGATCTAGAGAGAAGTGTTACACTACATATTCTGCATCAGTGGGAGCTTATCTCAAGGGAGGATTTAGATGCCAGCTGTCCTCGTGCTACAGTTAAAATCCATTTCAGCCACTACTCTGGGATGTATTATCAGTGGACATTTCTGCATGCAAGAAAATGAGTTCTGTGTGCATCTCAAATCCTCTATGGATTTTTTTTTTTTTTTTTTTTTTTTTTTTTTTTTTTTTTTTTTTTTTTTTTTTTTTTTTTTTTTTTTTTTTTTTTTTTTTTTTTTTTTTTNTTTTTTTTTTTTTTTTTTTTTTTTTTTTTTTTTTTTTGTTATTGTTCCTTCTGCTTTTTTACTTGATCGTGGAAAATTAATGTTTACAGAAGTGTGTCTCACTTTTTTCACTGTCTAGGGCTAAATCTTAAGATAGGTAGGGTGGAGGACTTCTGAATGTTCTATAGAAGCCATGGGTTTCTGGAGAATTCTTGCATGTTTAAGTGTTATAATTCAGAAATACAGGTCCTGCCATGGTTTACTTATGACCTATACTGACTTACCAATACGTACTAACAAAAACATGGGAGTTATATTTTTACTTAAAAGTTGTGATGTTTAGGAAGGGTCACTACAGCAAGCGATTGAGTTCTGGAACTGATGTATCAGATCATCTTCCTAGCAGAAAGCTCTTATCTTTTTTCAGAAGCTTCTCAGAATGCTGATATTAAGCATTTTATTCATTCTTGTTACTGAGAGGAAGCTGCTGAGGAGTCCCAGCTGCAGTCTGTGAACAGTTCTGGTGTAAGCTTCTGAGTTGTGTGAATAACTGCTTTTCCTTGCCTGCAGCAGCAAGCAGAACAGGCAACTGCAGAAGGACATTGTAGGAGACTTTAGTGGCATCTTTTGTCTTCAGAGTGGAAAGATGCCAAAGTTACCCTAAATGAGTTCAGAGGAGACCTGATCCAGATCTGCTTGATGTTGTATTAGGGGGGAAAGCTGCTTTTCTTTGCATCTTACCAGCAGCACCATTTATTTTATTCACAGTAAGATTATTCGGTGGGGTTTTTTTTGTTTGAGTTTTTTTGGGATTGTTTTGTTGTTGGCTCTTTTTTTGGGGGGAAAGCCAAAACAGGAAGCTTGTCTTAGGCAAAAAACTGAACAACTACTACGAGTAGATATCTGTATAAGTATAAAGTTGTTCATTTATCAAAGTCTGGTTTTGCAACGGGGAAAGACTAAGGAAATTCTGTAGCTGTAGGAACTGCAGAATTTTGTTTGGCTTACCTCGTTCAACTCAAGACTGAATGTGAAAAATGAGGACTGATAAACAGGATTAACAGTATAATCACTATTACATAATCCCTGAGTTGTTTTTTTTTTTTTAGGTAGGATGCATCATGTCCTTCCTGTTCAGTGACATTAGTAAATTTGGAAATGTAATTGGTTTATGTTACTGTCCTACAATACAGCCATATTCAGGTGACCTAAATTCCACCTAGTTCTCCATGCTTGGAATTTATTAGCTAGTTTTAGACTGTGTTTCTTCCTGTTGAACTGCTTACACATATGGCTTGTAATCAAGGTAGACTAAAGGACATGAGTTTGTCCAGGTTTCTTAAGCCCTTGCAGTAATTCCTGATACAGCTTGAGAACTAATGGGAGCTTTAAAATTACAGAAATACATGATTTGATTATCAAATTCTGTAATAATTCTGAAACCAGACTTTGTAGTGCTTTATACCATAATCATCCATTTTTTCATTTGATATTTTGAAATACGTATTGTTAAAACTGGGTTGATTTTTAAAATGTGCAAAAATAATATGCTTTATAGGCTGAAGCCAGAAACACTTGAAGATGATCTTGATAAATATACTGCCAGTGCCATGAAAATGAAGAATGAAAAGGTTGATCTCAAAGAATTTTCAACCTACTTGGAATTTCCTGTTTCTCAGACATTAGAAAGTATGTTTGCACTTTTTGATGAGGTAAGAAACAACATTAAGTCTAAAAATTTTACTGTTTTTGGTAAACTCCACTTTAGCCTACTTCTGTTTCAACTGAATTCACTGAGGTCTGATTTCTGAACAGTTCACCATAAAATTTGCTTACTGCACTTCTCTTTCAGCAAGGTAAGGGCACCTGTCATCAGCTAAATAAAGCATTCCTTCAGCTAGAACTTAAAAGGAATATCAGCTGGACAAAAACTGTCTTTTTTTCTAGATGCAAAATATGAAGATGAAGAAAGGTAGGGTCAAGCTAAACCTCTGCTGCTGCTCATTACAGATGAATGCAGTATCTGTTAGCTGATACTTTGTTTACCTTATAAATAAATGACTTGTACTATTACGAGCCTGAAACCTGAAGGATCTTGGCAAATGAGCCAGTTTTTCATTCTTCTGGCAATCAGTCAGAATGGGGAAATGACTATTATCTTTGTCTGGATGAGGTGCTGTCTGAACCAGGAGGTGGATATGTCCACAGTGTTCTCTCTTGGAGCAGATGTCATGTATTCAGGGCTTAAATTAGGGTGCATTGTCCTCTGGTTCTCTGGTTTTAATTTCAGCCCAGTGATTCAGATGGTTTAATGGAAAAATCTTAAATATGCGAGTAAAGGGTGACAGTAGCAGCACTGTCTTCCAAGACTATTTAAAGTCTGACTTTTGACTGAGACTGTGAAAAGAACCTGCAGAGCTTTCACCCAGGTTCTTGTCCTCAAGTGATTTCATTTTAGTGAGACTGCTTTTTTATCATGGCACATGTAACAATCTTTCTGAATATTCTGAATTTTTAGCAACTGTTAGTTATTCATGAAAATTCTCAGACAAATTGCACTATTTTAATGGGAGGTTTTCATTCACAGAATGAAGATGGTGTAATTGACATTCGGGAATTTGTCATTGCTCTGTCAGTTGTCTGTAAGCCATCCAAAACTCTGGAAACAATTCAGCTGGCATTTCAGGTAAGTTGTATTTTCTTGCTCTATGTAGTTTACATATTTTTAGAAATTACTAATACTGGCATTAGACTCAATAGACGTTTCCACATTTCCTTTTAATACTTGATTACATTTTAAAACAATATTAATGGAAAGTTAAATTAAGAGTTCATGTTAATGGGGAAAGCATTACAAGTCTGAATTGTGTAAAATTATGGAAGCTTGCCATTTGAAATTGTTCTCTGTAGAACTCTGGTAGAATCCTTTTAGCAAATTAAGTTTCAGACCTCAAGTCCTTTGTACCGATTCCTCTAAACAAACATTCCAAGTTGTACTTACTACTCTTAAAATGTTTCAATCAAATCTAATTTTTCGAGTTAATATTTTTTTATTTCCTACATGTTAATAGAGATTTTGTTATCTCCTTTTTTCTTGTTAAAATTTTCTTCCCACTTAGTCTTAACCATTGTATGTGTGGTGGTCCTGCGGTCTTTGTCCAGACTTAATGCTTCCCAGAAGTGCTTCTGACCTTGCTCTAGCCTCAGTGGTTTGTTGTAGCATCACCATAGATTGTTAATACAAGCTTTCTGGGAAAGTGACAGCAGCAATGCTTAACCAGTGGGTTTCTGACACCTTGATTTATTACTTTTCAATTAATTTATTTCATATTACTGTTTCTACATACTAACTCTGTTGCATCCTGCATCATCTTTTCCCTTTGCCTTGAATTCCACATGGTCTTCAGTGTAACTGACACTGAGCTGTGCTAAGTCTTGATGCTGTCTTCAGTAGTGAATACATGGAGCTCAGAGCATTCAATTGCATGGTGCTACATTGCAGCCTTATTTTCTGTGTAGTTGTATTCAGGTTCTTCAGCATGACAACTTTAAATATGTGTTGCTGAAGAAATTAGGCTCCTGTGAATGCTTTGTGTTCACCTGTATCATTCTTACCCTTCAGCCAGAATCCAATAAATTTGGCAAAGGAGGAGGGAGCAAAAATATTTATTTCCTACAAATACGGAAAATCTGCCATTAGTAGCTGCTTTATTTATTGCTGCTTCCGAGGGAAAAGCAGAAAGAAAGGTCTCTGTCCTGACTCAGTCCATTTCAGCTATACAGCAGCATAGAAAAATAGGTGCTGTTTGGTCAGCTCTGTCTTCATACTGAAGTGAACAAATTTGAAGTAAATGTAAAGGGGACTTTGGGGAAATATGTTTTTTAATTTTAATAATTTTAATATTTGAATTTTTTTATTTCGCTGTCATGCTTAATAATGTGGAAGTTAATTTTATCATTTGAGAGGAAGAAAAGCTCAGGTTGGATGGTTATTTTCTTTCTGGAAGCGTGTGAAGTTAATTAAACTGTTTCTTAGGAAAATTTCCGTTCTTCATCTGTGCTTCACTCCCCGACTTATAATACATAATTTTGAGTCACTTTAACTACAAAATATAAAGTTAGCTGTAAAACTGCAAAGAAGCTTTATGCATGTATTAAGGGGAAGTACTCAGCAAGGGGAAGCTGGTATGGCTCATTTTTTGGAAGGGTTGAGAAAAGTCTCAAACTTAGGAAATTTTGCTTACTCTGGGGATTAAAAAATAAGGAAAGAGAACCTTTTTAATAATTTCCAACCTCCTGCCCTGACTTCACCTACAATAAGATATTCACACAGCTTACCTGGAGCCATTGAAGGACCTTACTAGTTAATGAGTGTATGACTTCTTTCAGGAAAAGCACAACATTTTACTAGCTACAAGATCTCAAAGTTAAAGTGTTTAGTGCATGACTGAAGAACTTGAAAAATAGTATCATTATATAGAGTTGTTAAAAAACTGGGGGGAGTGGGAGATCCATGTAAAGGCTGTGCTGCCATTCAGTGAGACCTCCATAGGCTGGAGAGTTTGATGAGGAGAAACCTGATGAGGTTCAGCAAGGGCCAGTGCAGGGTTCTGCACCTGGGGAGGAAAAACCCCACGTCCCAGCACAGGCTGGAGTGTGACCCACTGGAGAGCAGCTCTGCAGAGAAGGACCTGGGACCTTGCTGGATGACAAGTTGGCCATGAGCTAGCACAGCCCTTGTGGCCAGGAGGGCCAGTGGGATCCAGGGGTGCTTTGGGAAGAGTGTGGCCAGCAGGTCAAGAGAGGTGATCCTGTCCCTCTACTTGGCCCTCATGAGGCACATCTGGAGTGCTGCATCCAGTTCTGGGCTCCTCAGCACAAGATAAAGAGGTAATGGAGAGGGTCCAGTGAAGGCCACAGAGATGATTTGGGGTCTGGAGCATCTCTTTCATGAGGAGAGGCTGAGGGAGCCGGGATGTTTTGTTTGGGCAAGACTGAGAGGGGATCTCATTAATGCATGTACATACCTCAGAGGTGGGTGTCAGGACAATGGTGCCAAACTCTTTTCAGTGGTGCTCAATGACAGAATGAGGAGCAGTGGCCATAAACTAAATCACAAGAAGTTCCACTTCAAGGTGAAGAAGAACTTATTTATGTTGAGGGTGGCAGAGCATTGAAACAGACTTCCCAGGGAGGTTGTGGAATCTCCCTTTCTGGAAATATTCCAAACACACCTGGATGCACTCCAGTGCATCCTGCTCTAGGTGACACTGCCTTGGCAGGGGGTTTGGACAAAGAGCAGCACTCTGGTGTAAGTGCTACACCTTCCCTTCCAAACTGCTAAAGAAACTAAAGGCTGTTGTAAATCTTGTCAATATTGTGTTTATACTGACCACCCAGTATTACCTGACTACTTGTTCTGTGAAAATGTAGCAGGTTTTATTAAAGAAATGTCTTGGTCTTTGCCCTATTCCTGTGAAACAGTGTGCAGGTTAGGTGCCAGGGCTCAAAAGGCAAGATTCCTGAATTGAACATGTTTTCTTCCATGGAACTTCAATATTTTTATTCCACTAAGGTGTGCTGTCTCATGGCAACTGCTTATGCTTGTGTGAAAAATACATATTTATGCCTATTTTGTTCAATCTCATCAGTTCCCACCTTCTCAATGATGTAGAGAAATCAAGAGGAAGTTTCCAAAATTGCACTGTTTATGTGGTTTGATGTTTTTGGTGTTGTCATGTTTGGAAAGGAAACAGAAATATTTCAAAGCCTCTTTTCTCTCACTTCACATTGTATAGGCAAATTAAGTTATTTTAATGGAGCTTAGTGAAGCTGTATTTGGTAGAGATGTTTTGAAGTATTCAGGTCCATTTGTCAGGGTAAAACACTGTATATATGCAGATATGAGTCTATGAGCAATTTTTGATATTTATTAATCTGTCAGTAATAAAGCTAACTCTTTCTGAGTTAATTCTTTAGGACGTAAGAGTATGCAATTGATTGTTTTCTAGAATAAATACTTGTAGAAAATGTATGTATATGCATATGTATATGCCTTGTGTCTATGGGATAGGATTCTCCTGATTAATACGATTTAAATACAGACATTTAATGCAAGCTTGCTTTTGGTCAAAGGAATCTTGAGTTTTACACCTAGCAAGTGGAAATGGTATCTGATTTAGGCTGATCTAAATATATTTCTGGATATTACAGACAGTGTTGGAGCTTAGACACCCTAGCTCAATGGACTGAATATTGTTCTCAGTTATATGTTTGCAAAACATGTTAGTATTTGACAGTCTTGTTGCTGAATATCACAGTGATTCCAGTGGTTAGGACATTTTTCTGAGTATAGCAAGCTTTACTTTCTAAGCATACACAGGTGAACTGATGATGATATTTTTTTACCCAGACTAATCTGAAATCTTTAATATATTACATCAGTCTGAGAGTGTCTAGAATTTCTAATACCTGCCCTTTGTTTTGTTTTACTTCAGTGTAGTGCTGTTTATAGGAGTTGGCATTCAGCTTTGCAATGATTTATCTTGCTGTCTTGATTCATAGCTGTACCAGTCAGAAGGTGGAACTGTAACAGAAGAGGATTTAGGTAATATTCTGAAGACTGCCATGGGTGTGTCACAAATTGATGTTACACATCTTTTTAGAGCTGTCGATGAAGAGGAAAAAGGAAAGATTACATATGGTAAGTAGTCTTAACTGCATATGAACTGTCACAAAATGTCAAAGTTGCCAGCACTCATGTTGACAAACAAAGCAGTTAAATTTTTATTAAACTCTACCTTTTTTAGTTGGCTTGGTGAGTTCAATACTGATAACAGGACAGCAAACAAAGTAAATTTACATTTAAAGAAACAAGCTTCAGCTTTGGTATCAAATGCCATGCTTGCATGTTTTCAGTTTTCCCTTCCTCATCAAGTCACATAATATGAAGATTATCTCCTTCAGTGTATTATGTTCTACAACTTCCATGTATGTGAATGCGTATTTTTAAAGAAACCTGCCTTAGCTCTGTCTTGTTTTGTGTCTTGTGTCTGAGAGCAGGAAGTGAGGGGGTTAACCAGGCTGCCTATTCTGTAGCCTGCAGTGTAGGTGGAATGGAGTCGAAAAAGTTGCATTTGAAAAATTGAGACCTGGGTGAATAGATTGTGCTGGGAGTCAGAGTACTTATATGTTACTTCAGATTATTTATGTTTTATGCAGTAAGGTTCTAAATTTAGTTGTATCATTTGAGTATGAGCTGAGTTATTGATAGCCAACATGAAGTATCTCCAGTAGAGATGCTTATGACATACCCTGTTGTAATTGTTTTCCCGCAGTATGTATTTAATTGGTTAAAATCTTACAAAATAATACATTAGTGTTAGTAAATCATAGCTGCTACATTAGTAATTCCTCTCTTTCAAACATACAGTATGTATGTAACGCTTCAAATACACAAATATTTTAGAGTTACTAAAATCAGTATCATTGCCACTATCCTTTCCTTTTTGCCTGATTACTGTCTTCTCTCCTCGATTCCTGCTGTACTACCCCTTTCCTTTCTGTGCCTCTGTCACATTCTCAGCATTTCCACATCCATCCTGCCCATTGCCTTTTTCCTGCCTATCACTGTTGCTCCTTGTCTTCCAACTCATAATGTGTGACTCAGCTCTTCCCCCCACCTCCCAATCACCAGCTTCCAAAATATCAGCACAAATCTTAAGCTGGTGAGCATAACAGAATTTTAATTTTGGCACATTTCATTATTTGAGAATAGCTAAATTTGTAGTCATGTACAAGTGAACTCAGACCAGGTCATGTGAGTTACCAAAGAATTCATATTTTAATATTCATCTGTACTGGTGCATTTAATCTGCACTTTTCCCCTAAGTAGTTATCATATGTTCCCATCACAAGAAATTCTGGACCACCAAGCCACAGCAGTGGCCACTGGTGTGCTTGGCCCTTATTTTCACAATTTTATATCCTGTAGTCAAGAATTGTCTTTTGTGATGGAACACAAAGTAGGTAGGAGGATGGTGTTTAGATAATTTCTTTGAAACTTTCCTTAGCGGTTTTTCTGAGAGAAGTGCTCATTTTACAATAGAAACATATCATTTTAACATATTTGAAAGTTTAATAGTGGGAGTAAATATCCAAGTTAGTAGATAACAGAATAAGAAGTTGTAAATAAACTTCTGGTATTGCATTTCTGTCTTGAAAGTTCCTGCCATAAATATTCATCCTCTTGCCTTTCTTGAGAATATGTGGAACTTCACACATGCTCAATTTGTTGCACTTACTTAATAGAAAGAAGAGGTGAAAAAACTTGCAGACCACACAGTTCAGAAGATACTGTCCAGACAAGTTCTGAGAAATCAAAGCATTGTATATGGTGGAACTAATCTTACTTTGGATATACACAGCAGAGGTCTACTAACAATCTCCTTTCTAGGGTGTTGGAATTTAAAGCAGGAATATTAAGTTGAGATTTGCTTGTGAGAACAATAGATAAAATACCTAAATTATCAAACCTAAATTGCTGCATGCACAGCAAGGTCCTTGAAGCCACAGATCTTTTCTCAAAGGAAAAGCTTAGGTTGCAAGCAAATGGGATAATCAAGAGCAAAATCGAGATTGTGAATGTGAATTGTTGGAAATCTAAATTTTTGTTGCATGGTTGAAAGCTCTGTGTTTGCCAAAGACTTATGTATCAGTTCTCTTACACAGTGTGTAGTTGGCTTAGTTGTTCAGATGCACTTTGCAAAGCTTTTCCTTTTATTCTAATGTAGACAGAGGCAAGATTTATCAGTCTTAAGACATGATTCTAGAGAGTTTGAATAGATTCTCTAGGAGGGCATGTCAAAGTCTAGCAAACTCCACCAGCTCTTGATAGACAATTCAGACTGTGACAGTGTTCTGAAGACTGCCTGTCTTGCTGTAGCCAGAAAAAAAGGAGGAATTGGCCGTATTTGGAGTATCTGTATGGATGAAGAATCAGGGAAGGAAGAATTATTTGCTTAAAATAATTATATATTAACCACAGGATTATATTCTTTAGCTTAGTGGAAACAAAAACTAGAGAAGATTAATGAAAACAGAGCTTCCAGGAGAAGTATCAAGTAGTAGGAGGATGTTTCAAGGGTAGGAGAAAAACCTCTTGAAGTTCTTGTAGTACATATGCATACTTAATGCAAAGATCAAGACATGAATCTTAACTCCACTTTGGGTTCTTTCTTTGTGTCTTTGTTTTTAATGGAGGTGGGAAGCAAAATCACCTTTTTTCCCCAAGTTAATGACTGAGGTCATCTTTTCCTTCAGTCTAATGCTTCACAGTTGCTTTCAATTTGAACTCCAAGATGAGACCCATGATTAGATGCAGGAATAGTTGGTTCTTTCTACATGACCTTGTTTCACAGTTCTGATAAATAAGGCAAGTGGGATTCCAAGCACTTTTGATTGCACTCTGCTGAGTACAACTTCAATAAGTATTCTTTAATACTTTTAGTACTTAGTTCAGCAGGACCCAAAATATCAGCTTACTAAGATCTATCCAAAATTTTACTCTGTTCAATTTGGATTGCCCTTTCTTCATTAAGACTTTATCATTTATATGATCCATCAGCCTGTTGTCCATGGAGTTTTTCAACATAGATGGTAATGTTGGCTTTCATGACCTAAACTTCATCAACTTTTGTTGAAGTTACAGGTTCAGAATGCTCTAGATCCACATAGACTGTGGATAAAGGATACCCACTTCTTTGTGAGTGGAAGGATGAAGTTGTCTTTATTGCCTTCTCGTCACCTATCCCTTTGCAACAGTTCAGAGGCAGGGTTGCCCTACAACTTCAGTGCCCCTGTGAGCCATATGGCATTCCCTTGGTCTCTTGCCCTTTGCAGTATTGAAAAATCTCAAAGAGTGCCAGAGAAGGAAAGCTGCAGTATTTCCCTTCTTCCATAACCAGCCCAGCTGTAGGAGGACCTGGGCTTCACTCCTTTGAAAGGCTTCTTCAGGTGTCATCTGCTCTGCACTCCAGGGAATTCACATCATCATCTGATCATGAGCTCTTCTGGGTTAGCGGAGTGAATCTGAGTGGGAGGTGTGTGATACACTGTAGGTGACAGAATTAGTGTAAACATTCACATCCAGATTTTTCTAGTGTCAGTTTACATTATGAATAGCTTCGTGTTGCTTGGTTCCTGTGCAGTATCTTGTGTTTGAATCATGTCTGAATAAAGTCATATGGGCAAATTGAGACAAAGTTTCAGTGTCTGATTTTCAACACAGATTGTTAAGGATGTTAAATTCTTGATGGTAAGGATTCCCCACTCCCCCAAGACCTAGTCTGGCTTTTCTTATTACCATATTATTATACAACACTGAAATCAGGAGTTCTTTTCTGTGCTATAATTTATCTCCTCAATATTATTCTCTAAAATATTGGGACTTCTAAAATGCTGAAATCTTGAAAGCAGAAGGCAGCAATGACAGCTGCTGTTAAGTTGAAGCAAACTATGAGTGCAAAGCATTAAGAGCCATGTTTGCAAAAGAGTTTTAAGAATTTAAGAAATTACTCCTCTTGATGTTCAGTGATCTTCAGCTGGAGGGCTTCTGTACTTCCCCAGCGAATAGTGAAATGTTATGTCAGGGCATGTGGTGCTCATCATGCATTTTAATGCAAATCTGAACCTGTACCACTTCATACAGCTAAGCCCCTGCTGGAAGTGTTTTCAGAGGGCTTAGATAACTCTTTGCAGCATCTCAGCTCTGCAGATGTGGTAAACTTAGGCTGAAAGCTAAAACAAGCACTGGGGATAGCATTATGTTAACTGCTGCTATTTTTTCCAAAGAAATCATGTGATTATATATGTGTAAGTATTCAAATTTAGCATCCTTCTGTTTCAAAGAGCTGATTCTCTGCAACAACTTTTTTTTTCTTAGATGACTTCTACACATTTGCTGTGTTGCACCCACACTTTGCAGAAGAATATCTCTATACTGATCAGATGGGAGCTGAGGGCGGCTTGGAGACTTCATCTCTTTCTGCTCCTAATGGTATCTGTACTGACTTCAGCCCTGACAACAGTGCAGATAGGAGGAAGCCGTTGCAGAAGAAACTGAACTAATACTACAACTGTTACCTTCCTCTCCTGGTGAGAGGGTTGCATTTTCTTGGGATTTTCATAAGTCATTCCAATTATACGGCGAATACCAGTTTTGTGTGTGAAAGTTCTACCTGAATACCATCCTTTGAATCCTTTGTGCTATGTTTAACAACATGTTCCAGGTTACTTTGGGAAAGGTGTTTTTATTTTTTTCAAAGGTCTTTGAAAGGCAAAAAATGTGAATGTGCTTCATTATTAATGTTCATATTTAAAAGGAAGCGGCACAACTTATTTATATTCCATTGGCTAGTTCCATGTACCAAGTGTCGCACAAACTGTGCATGTATAAAGAAACTGTAGCTACTATGGTGTAAAGTGCACTTTGGTGATTAGTGTTTTCCCTAGTTATGGGGATGTTTATTTGGGGCCAAACTTTGCTGTCCATATCTGAATAGGCAGTCTTGTTGATTTTGGTGGGAATTATTCTCTTGAGCAAGGCAAGCATACTTTGGCCCTTTGTTTTGGTTTCAGTGAACAGTTTGGAAACAGTAATAAAAAACTTGCTAAGGATATTTTTTTTTTTTTAATTGCTGAATGAGAAAATTGTTTCTCTTTCCATGGTAGAATGAAAAGGAAAGGCTCCTTATCCCTCACCCAAACACTTTTCTACTATAATCTTCCGGATGCAATTAAACATTAATTATTTCCAAACTGACATACCACATACTGTTTGAAAATACATAACTGAACTGTTTGTGCTTTTCTCTCATAACCAATTCAAATCATGTCTACACAACATTTTATGGGAGCTGTATACAGAGCTATATTTCATTTTGATTTAGCAGGAGTCACAGGTTTCTTTTGTAGCAAGCCTGTACAGATAACATAGCATGGAATATATCATGAAAAGTTTGGTGTATCAGCACAAGTTGGAAAAGGTTGCAGTCACTTCAGAGGCCAAGCCAGCAATAAGTTGCAGAACATCCTGAAGAAGTGCTAGTTAAATCTCTATAGCAACATTACATACTTCATAGAACATATATGAAGCTTAAAATAGTTTAGAGCTGTTTAAAAAAACACCACACTTGTATTAAAAATACATGCTTCCTTTTGTAAAGCCCGATGCCTTAACTGCTGCTGGAGGTCTCAGAGAAAAAAAATAGATTGTTATAAAACTACAGATCTTCATTGATTAGGAAATGTGATAAAAGCCTCAAGGGGTAGGAGGGAGGACTCTGTCACAAAATAACTGATGGCAACTCTGCTTCCAAACAAAAAAATCTTTTAAGTAATTTCTGACTAGTTTTGTAGGGTTTTGTGCATGGAAAACTATTGAGATTAGAGTTTTCAACAAAGAAATTTAAAACTAGATTCGAAAGGGAAGAATTTTAGCAAATTATGTCTGTTTGTACCAAATGCTTTTATAACTATTTTTAAATAGTATGAGGTGTTTTAAAGCTCATTAGGGTATTGGAACATGTCCTTAGAAATCCCAAACTCTATGTGGCAGGTCTCCAAACTGGAACTGGTTTTAATAAAGAGGGTAGGAGGAAAAAAATGTAAGAAAATATGCTTTATGTGGTGGTAATAGTTTAATTTTTGATTAAGCCAAGCTTAACAGGGCAGCAGCAGACTGGCTGGCAATATTTGAATTAAAACTGATCATGAAAAATACAAGAAATTGATTGAAAAAATAAGACATATGAGAAACTACCTTCAAGTAGGAATAGTTAGCTGATAGAGGAGGGAGTGAGTATTATTGTGCTATATCTTGAGGCAGGGAAGATGGCACAGAATATGTCAAACTGCACACTGTTAACTCTGCTGCAGAAAAGATGCTTGTGTTAGAGGGGTGCATCAGCATGTAGCCTGTGAGAAGCAGGGTGGTATTTCTTCATTACCAAGATGTGGTAAGGTCTTACCTGAGGTACCTGCTCATACTGGGGCACCTGAGAGAGATGGGGTGTAACTGAATAAAATCTGAAGGACAGAAAGTACTCAAAAAGAGATCAAAAGTATCCTTTAATCCAAAGAAGAGGAGATTGAAGGAAGATGTGAACAGTCTTTAAATATGGAAAAAGTTGCTATAGAGGAAATAGGAACACTCTTCTCCACAAAGATGGTAGATGCTAGCTATTAATTGAAAAGACAAGTTAAACATTAGGAAAAGTCTCTTACAATATGCCTTATTAAGCTAAGGAGAAGGGTTATTTCAGGTAGGGTGAATGGTCTGCCTTCCTTCAGTAGAGTTTTTGGAAACAGAGAATACAGACAACTCCAATAGAGACACTTGATTTTGCTGATCATGCCCCAGGGTTACAGGGAAATGTCCTTAAGGTCTGTTTTCTCTAATTACACAGTATGTAAGGGAAGGCAGGTGTAGTCTGGACATGTTATATCTCTACAAGACTATGGCATGTGGCTCAAGCTGGCTAAGATACTTATCTTTTGCTTTATATATGAGCTTGGGAATATGAGAATTTCAGAATGCAGGGAATGAGAAAGAGTTCCCCAGCACATGTCTGGAAAGAAGAAAGAGGTAAGCTCATGATCCCGTGGACAGCTCTGAAGTGAGAGAAGCAAGCTCCAAAGAAGAGATACATTGACCATATCTGTGAAAGAGCAAAAAAAGCTGATTCAAGTTGGCTAAATCAAGTGTGTCTAATTTGCATGTGTGGTGTAACTTGAGGGCCTGTTTTATGAAAGCCCATAGGTTCATTGAGTTTTTATTTTTATTTGTGAGGTGTTTTGTAATTGTGATGAGTGTAATAGCTGTACTTGTGTACAGCTAAGCTGTATGGAGTGCATTGGAGGGCTCTGCAGCCTGTAGTGGATGGGCCCTTAAGCTGGCACCACATTGTGCGATGAAGAGGCACTGAAAGTCCTGTGCACCAGTGAGCTCAGTCCAGAGCTGCTGCTGGAAAAGGCTGGTGGCCAACACAGGTCACAAGCAAGCACTCTTGGTGGGTTAAAACTCATTTAAAAATTGGTGGATTAACTCATTAAAAAATGCCATAAGACAAAACAACAGATTCTGGAAGGAAATGTGGTTCTCCCTCTTCTGAGAAATTACTGAATAGATTAAGACATAATAAGAGGAATGATAGGATGAAGGATCAGCTTGCATGGAAGCATTGTTAGATCACACATCATGTCACAAAAGTTGAGATTAATTAATATAATTCCATTAATTTTAGCATTTGTAATATATACTATTAGACTGCCTTGTAGTGAGAGAGAAGCCAGGTTACCACAGGGTGGTGAACTCAGGTTCTTGAGGGCACAGGCCTATAGCACATTACATGACTGCAGCCATACTCCTGACAACTCATCCATCAAACCCCAGCTGCAGAAGTGTTTCAGTAGTTCCTGATGAGAAGCCTTCTTACAGGCATCTGACTGTGGAGCAGCTGGATTGTGACAATCAATTTTCAGTGACCTGATGCAAAATCTGAGTAGAAGTGAAATCTTCCTTTCCCCATCACCAAAACATTGATATGTAAATGCTTTCCATTAAAATATTACTGATTTTATAGGCAGATTGGTATATTTTAACAGGTAGTATCAACACCCCCTAAATTTACCAGGCAACATAAGCAGATGTAGCAAGTATTTAACTTAAATGGTCCTTATACAAAAAATGCAGGGATGTGAAGGCATTTAACATTTCGGGTGAACATTTTTGTACTCTGAGGTAACACTGCCATCCCTTGCCAGTAGAGATCTTGCATCGACCTGAATTTTTATATATTGTATGAGATACCCAGCCAAGGCATTGGGTATCTCTTCTCATATGCCTGAACAAGTATGTAAAGTTACCTAGAAAACCACAAAATCCAAAATATCTGAAGTTTTGGGGGGTTTGTTTGGGTTGGGTTTTTTTTGGGGTTTTTTTTTTTGGTTTTTTTTTTTTTAATTTTTTTTCAAACATAATGAAGCCCCACTAAAACTAAACAAATGCTTGGTAGGTGCAAATCATGTTTTTAAACCACTGTCTCTAGCATGGTATGGCAAATGTTATTGCAGATTTTTTTTTGGGAGTCTGTTGCTGTAACAGATAAATTTAAAATGCTTCATAGGAAATAAGGAAAAACTTGGCTGTACACTTAGTTTTATACTAATTAATTGCACTATATGTTTTAGATGCATTTATTGTAGCTAGAATGATCTAGGTGTGATAAATAGCAACCAGACATGTTGCTAATCCCATTTTCAAGGTATAAATCCTTAGGTCACAGGGTTTGAAAAGGACACATGTGCAGGAGGGAAGTGATGCAACCTCTTTAGTAACCCAGCTGCCAGAAGTAAATAGCTAATTGTCACACAGAGCTCTTTTTTAATATCCTCACACAAGCTGAATAACTTTGTTAGCTAGTTTAGGCATTTTTAGTATTTTTATATTCACAAAATGCAGTAAACAGTTTCCTGTAGAAGTCATAGTTGCACTCCAACATCTGATAAATTCATAAAGCAGGCTTTACATATTTATGAGTTCCCTGATAAGTTCATCTTTGGTATTACCATTAAATTATTCTTCCATCTTTTGTATTACCATGTGGTAACTATAGCTTCTGATATTAACTGTTTTAGTCACCTGTGCTCTGCTCTTTCAAAAATGGCATCCTCATTAGAGGACAAAATAAAAAAAAACACAACCCCCCCC